CAAAAAATTGGGGGGGGGGCGGGGGATGTCCATATGGAGACAACCTCCCCCCCCCAAAAAAGTTTGGAGGCCCCCAGGACCAGCCGTGGTCCCCAGGGGTCAACGATGGATGGTCTAAGTTCATTGAGGAGGAAGGAAGGTCCCCGAAACCACGTTGGGTGGGGGGTGGGCACCATCCGGAGGGACCCCCAGCGTGGGAAGAGGAACCTCATGGGGTTCTACCAAGTCCTGTCCCCTGGGGAGGGAGGAATCACACCCCCTCCCCAAAAAAAGAGAAGGAGCTGGGGGTCTTGGTGGGCACCACGATGACCGTGGGGCATCAACGTGGCCTTGGGGACAAGGAGGCCAGTGGTCTCCTGGGGTGGCCAACGAGTTGAGGAAGATCATGGCTGTGTTGGCCATGGTCGTGTTGGCCATAGTCAAGGTGACCATGGCCATGTTGACCATGGTCAAGTTGCCCATGAGCCAGCAATGGGCCATGGTGGCCAAGAAGGCCAGTGGTCTTCTTGGTGGCATCAAGAAGAGAGTGGCCAATGGGTCCAGGGAGGTCACAGTTGCGTTGGCCATGGCCGTAGCCTGGTGGCCAAGAAGGCCAGTGGTCTTCTTGGTGGCATCAAGAAGAGAGTGGCCAATGGGTCCAGGGAGGTCACAGTTGCGTTGGCCATGGCCATGTTGGCCATAGTCAAGGTGACCGTGGCCGTGTTGACCATGGTCAAGTTGCCCATAGGTCATCAACGTAGCCTGGTGGCCAAGAAGACCCATGCTCTCCTGGGTGGCATCAAGAAAAGGGTGGCCAACGGGTCCAGGGAGGTCACAGTTGCGTTGGCCACGGCCATGTTGGCCATAGTCAAGGCAACCGTGTCCATGTTGATCATGGTCAAGTTACCCATGAACCAGCAACGTGCCGTGGTGGCCAAGAAGGCCAGTGGTCTCCTTGGTGGCATCAAGAAGAGGGTGGCCAATGGGTCCAGGCCCATGTTGGCCATGGCTGTGTTGGCCATAGTCAAGTTGACGTTGGCCAAGTTGCCCATGAGCCAGCAACGTGCCCCAATGGCCAAGAAGGCCAAAGGCATCATTGAAGATGGGGCATCAAGAGGAACGTGGCCAACAGGAGGCCACAGCTGGAGAACCGGGACCAGTTCTGGGCCCCTCCCAGTTCCAGGAGGACTGGGAACTGGTGGAGAGGATCCACCTCAACGCTTTGAGGAGGAACTTCTTCCCTCTGAGGGTCCCAAACCCTTGTAAGAGGCCGCCCAGAAGGTGGTGGTGGGGTCTCCATCCTCCTGGATGAATCCCACCCGGCTCTGGGTGATCTCCAGAGGTCCCTGGGGTGGTTGTGGGAGCAGGGGGGGGGACAGGGGGGGTCTGGACCCACTTTTGAGGAAGGCGGTGAGGTCGTAGAGGGCCCGATCCTCGGAGCTGCCGTCCCAGCGGGGCAGGGCCAGGCCGTTGTAGGGCTGGAGGCAGAAGGCCTCCCGGCGACAGTCCACCACCACCACCTTGGAGGGGTCTCTGTTGAGGCAGGAGATGTCCTGGGGGGGGCACAAAGCAAAAGGGGGAGGG